ATCACCCTGATCACGGATTGGAGGCTCAGCAGTTTACTTCCCCCTGGACCCAGGAGGGCCTGGAATGGGCTCGACAAAAATTGAAGCTGATAGGACAATACCTGCGCAGGGCTGCCAAACGAAGAACGTCGCCACCCTGGTCCCTTCCTATAGAAGTGTTCTGGATGCTGTTCCACCCGTACCGGCGTACGTCGAGGAGGTTCCGAGGTGTAGGTTATCAGGCTCCAGACCTTGATCTGCGTGCTCTAAGGCGATTCCTGGTGATATTTGTACATAAGATATATCGAAGTAGTCAGCCACCAGCAGTCTGGAGCTTGTCGATGGGGGTGGCCACTAATTGGAAGAGGGTCATACACGTTTTGTGCCCCTTTGGCAAAGCCTTCATCGCCACCAGCCTGGACCCAGTGCAGATCACCCAGGAACCCGAGTTCGCCCACGGTTGTGTTCCCAGGAGGCGCCGCGAGACGGCCATCATGATCCAGCAGTCAGTTGGATGGAGGCTTAGGAGGCTAGGGATACGGCATGTCACGGAGCATAAGGACATCACGAACGCGTTCGGTAGCAGTTCTCGTGAGGCTATCCTGGAGGCCAACCAGAGCATCATGAAGGAGGGGGAGGCTAGGTTTGGGGTCCAGAGGCTGCAGTTATCCACGGTGTGTTTCTCGGGGCTGGATGGGGTTTTTTTCGCCAAGCCTACGGTTGGAGCGCTACAAGGAGATCCCTGGGTAGTTAAGGTATTCACACGAGACATAGGAGGGGTCTTCGCGCGAGCACAGCAGGATCATCATAACTCCCAGGACGAAACAGCTACGTGGTGCACGGTCAGGCTCCCAGCAGATGATGATCAGGAGATGGTTATGGACCTATCATTTCATTCATATGTAGATGATGCCGCCAAGAAGTTACTTATTGCGGACCAGACGACAGACTTGGCGCAGGAGGTCAGCAGGCAGTCCTTGCAGTACGATGATTTGTTATCGCGACGACTGACTGAACACAACTATCAACTTAACCCAACAAAAAATGAAACAGTGCTTGCACTTTTTGGGGATCAAGCTCAGAACTGCAGAAAACAAATACGGACTGGCAATATTAGGTTAGCTGGACAACCCAAAGATTCTGCTAAGTACCTGGGTAGTATCGTTAGAGGTGATGGAGCTTTCTCTTCTGAACTGGAAAATAGGCTTAGGGCCACTGATGTTGGTTATCACAGTATGGGGAGATTCTGGTACCAGGCACGAGTCCCTTATGTTGAACGACGTGCTGTCTTCCTATGTCGTGTCCTAGGGTCTGCGTTATCAGGCGTCGAGGCTTTCCTCCCAACGCCTGCTCAACTACAGCGATTGCAGAGCAGAGTAAATATGTATGCTAGACGTGCTATGCGAGGGCTGGCCACTAAGGAGCAGAACGGGCATAAGGTTTCGATCAGTAACGAAGAGGTTTGTAGGTACTGGAAGATGGCACCACTTGAGATCGAACTGCGCGCACGGCGTATCAAGTGGTATCAGCGCTGGGTTCAACAACCTGATCGTCACCTGGCAGAATGGGCAGCTTTGTTTGGCACCATGCAAATCGAGTCGCAGAGAGGAGTGCAGATCGTTGGACAGGACGAGCGTCTTACAGAAGATGCTTGCCCCTGGGCTCGTAGAGTAATATCAGATATTAACTCCCTGGCTGACTTAGGAGATGACGAATATGAACATGTACAAGAATTTGATAGCAGTCCAATGAGAATATTCCAGGACGAGAGCTTAGTCGAATGGTTCACCCAGTTTGACCCAAAGAAGTTGCGAGCTAAGTGGTTAAGTGTAGCTATCCCCCCTCCTGGATATGCTCATCCTCAGCCTCAGGAATCACGACCCGACCCGCCACAAGCAGCAGGAGATATGTTACCATGTTCAGTACCAGGATGTACTCGTTCTTTCCATACCTCCAGGCAGTTATTGGTTCACCTCAGCAGGGGGCATGAGTTCAGATCTATCCTTGGTCTGGCAGTTACTTCTAATGTATGTTTTGTCTGCGAGAGCGTTTTCGAGAGCCGTAACTCGGTCTATAAGCACCTCATCGACTCCTTCGAAACGGGTATATGCGTCACACAAAGAAGTACGACCTTCAAACATCCAGGCCAGGACAACACTGATGAGTGCCCATTGTGTAAGGCTCAAATACTTGCTGGGGCTCCGCTGCGAGCCCACATCCGTACGCATTTTCTCCACCTCCCAGCACTCGACGATGCCAGGAGAGGGCGCGGCAGCAGCGGCGAGGCCCAACGAGCAAGAGGCAGCAGGAGGCTCGGAGATGGCGGCAGCGCCAGACTGGATGATCATCGGCACGGCCAACAAGCGCAAGGAGCTGGACGACACCTCGGACGCCCAGGAGAACAAGAAGGGGCGGCTGGCCGAGCAGGTCAAGCGCGACGGGCTCAAGATGGGCAACTTCAAGGCGCTGCTCGCCATCCTCACGAAGCTCAGTATCACGAACTCCAGGGAGCTCGCCGACCTCACAGGCGCCTGCTTCACGTGCTTTCTGCTCCCCGCGGGCGCCCCGCTGATCGGCATCATGCAGCAGGCGGGCAAGGCCTACGCCCAGGACTGCAAGCAGAGGGGCAAGCAGCACGGCAACGGCCCCCCGTGGCCGCACGTCTTCCTGGCTCTCCTGAAGCACTTCTGCCAGATGACGAATTTGGACGAGCCGTCGATCAAGGCGTTCAAGACCTACTGGGGGGTGATCACGAGCCTCAGCAAGGAGGAGGGCCTGATCCAGCTGCAGGAGCAGATCAGGTTCCTGCGCATCAAGGGCTGCTGGTACGACCGCAAGAAGGACGACAAGCCGACCAGGTTCAAGCTGCAGTTCATGATGAGCCCCAACTCCCAGGTCAATGGAGTGAGGAACACCTCCGACCAGACCAACACGATCCCGCTCCACCAGGCCTTCTGCATGGCAATCCTCAAGCAGGGCGGGGAGTACAAGGCGGGCGGACCCCCCGAGGGGGCGCTGGAGAGAGAGGCGGAGAGGCTGCTCAAGCGCATGGGGATCGAGAGCGACAGGCAGACCATCGAGGTAGACAGCGACCAGGACGGGGAGGGGTTCTGAGGCCGTTGCGTCTTGAAGCAGTGAACGGATCTGAGCGTATGGCAGAGATGTATAGGGAAGGCCGCCTCACGGGCATACAATTACAGGCCCTGCAGGCCCGCGTCCACCACCCCATCCTCAGGTATTTTAACGGCAGTCGCAGTGTCTTGTTGCATCAGGTTGGCAGTGCAGATCCCCCCGCCATCATGTCATTTGAAGAGTTCCAGCAGCGTAGTGAGCAGGTGCGCAGAATAGAAGTCAATGTAGAGACAGTGCCGAATCAGAGCAATCGTGCCGCTAGTAGATATCTCCACCCCAATCCCATGCCGCCAGCAGAGTGACTCTGGCATTGGGGTCGCCTGTAGACACAGAGCAACGGGAATCAAAATCTGGCGGGGCATTTCTTTACCAGTCCGCTGCGGGCCGCGGCAGTGCGGGCCGCAGCAGTGCGGGCCGGCCAGGCTCTAGAAGTCAATGTAGAGACAGTGCCGAATCAGAGCAATCGTGCCGCTAGTAGATATCTCCACCCCAATCCCATGCCGCCAGCAGAGTGACTCTGGCATTGGGGTCGCCTGTAGACACAGAGCAACGGGAATCAAAATCTGGCGGGGCATTTCTTTACCAGTCCGCTGCGGGCCGCGGCAGTGCGGGCCGCGGCAGTGCGGGCCGCCCAGGCTCGGGGTTTTCCATATTGCAAGAGAGAAGTGAGAAGCGTTGCGACCTTGCTCACTTGTCCTCCCTCCTTCCCCTGCTCTGTCCGCCCGTGCTTGTTCCTTTCACGAAGGATGGTGCCGCGTGCGGGCCGCTGGGCGTTCCCCTTACAGCGGTCCCGCTTCGGCCAGAGAGGGCCATCCTTCCAGCGTCGGCCGCTGGTAGGCGATAGTTCGCATCCAAGAGCCTGCAGAGGTCACCAGGACTGCTGAGTGACAGAGGCTCGCAATGGTTGATTGATTGATTGATCCTCCTCCTCCTCCTCCTCCTCCTCCTCCTCCTCCTACTCCTACTCCTCCTGCCGGCGCTGGGCCGAGGTCCGCGCGGATTTCTTGGATCTGCGCTGGCCCTCCTCCACGGCGCACGGAGCGCGCCGGGGGCGGCGCCAGAGGCGCCGCCAGGGAGGCCCAGCGCCGATCCGAGAAATCGTCGCGGAGCCCCCAGACCCAGAGATCCAACGTATTGAACAAAAACAAGACGTAGATTTGTTTTGTACTTGTCGGCCTCGAGGGGCCCTCGCCGGGCCACGGGACCGTCAGAAAACGACTCAGGATGAAAAACCGGTCCTGGGGAATGGGTCGAGACTTATGGGGACCCCGTATTGAAAAAATCACGACATCGGATCTCTGGGGAAGGTATGTCTATGTCGTTCTTTGTCCTTCGAATGATGGGGATCGGGACGAGGATGGGGATGGGGACGGTGGGGAAACCAGACAGCATCGTTACCGCTACTCCCCAGACCTCTCATGGGGTGCGCCCTGATCAAAAGTCCGAAGCGAATCCGGCGGTGGCGACGAGCGCTTCCGAGGAGACTCCAGAAAGGCGAAAACGAGGCAAGGGTAGCGGTATGGGAACCTTCCCAAAAAGCGGGCCGCTCAAATTTTTGTTGGTGCGTGGGCCCCGGACGTCTGGACCACTTCCCCCGGGGCCGGCTTTTCGTCCTGCGTCGTTTCTTTTGACGCTCCCGAGGCCTGGCGCGGGCCCTGGGAGGCCGCAAACTGCCCACATCTCGCCACTCCACGTTTTTGGAGCGTGGTAAGGATGGGGACCAAGAGATCCGATGTCGTGATTTTTGCAATACGGGGTCCCCGGAAGTCTCGACCCATTCCCTAGGACCAGTTTTTCATCCCGAGTCGTTTGTTGACGGTCCCGGGGCCCGGCGAGGGCCCCTCGAGGCCGACAAATACGAAAAACCTACGTCTTGACTTTTTCAACGCGTCGGATCTCTGGGGATGGGGATGGGGATCGGCGAGCCGATACCGAACCCGACCGCCTGGTCGAAGCCGCCCTCGGCGGCGGCCCCCAGCGGCGAGGGGCCGCCCTCGACACCGGCGTCCGGCTCCGCCCCGGCCTGCGCAGGGGCTCTCGGTCCCTCGGGCATGGCCCTCGACCGCCCCGGGGAGGAGGAGGAGGAGGAGGAGGAGGAAGAGGAGGAAGAGGAGGGAGGAGGAGGAGGAGGAGGAGGAGGAGGAGGAGGAGGAGGAGGAGGAGGAGGAGGAGGAGGAGAGGAGGAGGGAGGAGAGGAGGAGGAGGAGGGAGGAGGAGGAGGAGGAGGAGAGAGGAGGAGGAGGAGGAGGAGGAGGAGGAGGAGGAGGAGGAGGAGGAGGAGGAGGAGGAGGAGGAGGAGGAGGAGGAGGAGGAGGAGGAGGAGGAGGAGGAGGAGGAGGAGGGAGGAGGAGGAGGGAGGAGGATGGAGGAACCCGAATCCGAATCCAGCCCGTGGATGTCTGACCATCTCAGCAACCGATCGTGGACGAATGCTGCCGATCTTACGCGAACTCGGGGGGTCTGAATTCGACCAACTACGTTGCTTGCAGCTAGCGAGCGCTCTCGTCTCGGGCCCGCACTGCCGTCATCAAGGGCACCCCCACGGGGACTTCGGAGGCCCTCCGAGGGACCAAGGCCACGGGCTCTTCCCAGAACCGGAATTCTCTCCTTACTCTTCAAAATGACGGTGGCTGCTTCACACAGTCAGTCGCCCGTCGCCATCACCCTTGGAGCTCTGCAATTCTGCCAACAAATTATCGGGCAGCCGTCCTGAATTGACTAGCTCCTGCAGTCTTGTACTCGAAGTGAGCACCGGGGGGAGATCCAACGTCGAGCCAGCCGCGGCCGAAACCGCTGACATTCCCCGCCCTCCCCCAGCACGCGCAGCAGCAGCAGCAGCAGGCCTCCACCCCCTTCCCCCTCCCCTTGCCAGAAACTCCCACCTCCCATCTCACCACGTCAGAGCTGCGAGAAGACGAGCGGCATCCCGCTCGCCAGGGCTCCGCGGCGCCGCTCCTGCCTTCCGCGCCACCTTCAGCCGCTGGGTGGCCACCTGCTGGTACGCACGCTCGAACGCGCACATCTCCTGCGACGAGCGGTCGAAACAACCCACGAGTCTCCCCGAGCCCGCAGGCCTCGATGGACCCCTGTTCCGCTTCCACTTGCAGTGCGGGATCAGCTCGGCCAGGCGCCTCCGGTCCGAGGGCTTCACCACATTCTCCCAGAACTCCTCGATCGCGGCCTTCTCTCCCCAATCCTGCAGCGCTAGCCGCATGAGGAAGGCCGCGGAAACGTGGGCGCGAGGGGGCCCGCGGCCGTCGTAACCGCGGTTCTCGCCTGCTCCTTTGTGTCTTTTGAGCGCTTGCAGCTCGGCGCTGCATGCTTTGCCTGCGTCCTCCAACGGCGCGCGTAAGCCGGCGTCGCCGCCCGCGCAGTCCATCTCGCGCGCCGTGTGCACTGCTCTGCAGACGTCGGGTAGCTCGCGCAAACTTGTCAGCGCGAGGCGCGTGAGGATCATTGCCGCATGTCGGACGGCAACGTCGCCGCCCCTCGTGGCCGCCGCCTGGACATCCTTCCTCAATATAACTGAGCCGTTCTTGGCCGAGTCGGGCGCTCGCTTCAGCCGGGCTGGGGTGTCGATGGGCATCTCTGGGTCGAACCTCGGATGCTGGGCGAACAGGATGCGGCGAATGATCGAGCAAATGGATACTCCAGATTTCGTAATAAAGGGAGGGGGGGTCTCATTTCGGGGGGGGTCTCTTCCAGGCTATCTTGGAGGGCCTGGGGGGGTCTGGGGGCGATGTTTTGGAGGGTTCTCCCACGGGGGGGGTCTGAAATGGCTCGTCTTGGAGGGTCCAGACCCCCTCCCTTTTATTACGAGATCTGGAGTACGGAGAGCATCAAGTGATTCTGCTCTCGCCGCACTCAACGCGCGCGCACGGGCGAAGCCGGCCCCGAGAGCTCGAAATGCCGCGCCCCCCCATGCGCGGGGGAAGTTCCCATCCTCAATCCCAGGGACAAGTGGCGAGCAGCCGTGGTCTGACTCTGGAACGTGCCGCAACAGGCGACGCACTGGTCTGCGCGCGCGTGGACGCGCGAGAGCGACCGAACTCGGTGGCAGGCCCGAGGGCGATTCAGAAGGCGCGCGCGAGTAGCAAAGCACATGTTGCAATCTTCGCCTTCCTCCTCCTTCTCACTGCACACCCAAGGCTCAGCTCCCTCGGGGCATGGCGGGGGCGCAGGTGCATCGGGCGCGGCCGCCGACGCACCAGGCGGAGGAATACGCGCGCGCAAGGGCCCCACCGAATCTCAGCGCAGACGAAGCGAAGGCACTCTCGAGCGATCTCCGACTTCACGATGCGCGACGGGTCCGCCGACAACAGGGGGGGGCCGACGGCTCGTCTACCATCTCGAAGGCACTCTGGAAATCTGTAGCCACCCTGCGGGCCCAAGGGGAAGCTGCTGGAGGAAGCCCCTACGCCGCGCGTGTAAGGAACTCCAGCGTCTGGTCAAAGAGCTGTCCAAGAAGGGCCCCCCAGTGTTTGACTGTGCTGGTCGGGGTGCTTTGCCCACCCCTGGCGCCGCCGAAGCCTCCGAACGAGCAACTCAACACTAGCGGGTGTCAACTTCCAGTGTTTCTGGATCCCCGTCGTGCTCCAAATCTGGACTTGGCCATCCACCGCCCACGTAGCCGCCACCTTCAAGGCCAACCGACTATTGTACACCAGCTTGTTCTCGATATGTTGCAACTGCGGCAGTTTCATTCGCATGGGCTCTGGACCGCGTAGTAGGGCGTTTTGTGCTGGGCGAATTAGCAGGCATCTCTTGAACTTCCAAGGCGACGATCGTTGCCAGATGCTTTCAAAACTCGAAGGGAGGGGAGCATGGGAAACGAGAAACAGAGGGAGGGAAGTCGCCGATGTGCGAGGGAGAGGTCCAGCCATTTTGGCTCGAGCCATCTGGGCCAAGCCACGTTGGGTTCCGTAGCCATTTTGGCTCAAGCCGTTTGGGCCCATGCCTGACGAAGGGGGCCAAGAGCTTCCGAAACGCGTCGCACACACTAGACGAGGGAGGGAGCATCTTGGAGCACTGGCGCAGCACGGTGTGCGGTGAAAAGAGGGAGGGAGGAGAGTGAGGCATCAGGCGGCCGACGGGTGCATACCGCGGCAGCCCGACGCTTGTGCTGTAGCCACCTCTCGCTAACCCTAAACCTCGGAGAGTAAACCCCAGGGATAATAAAGTTCGGGGTTCTCGGGGAGGTGATAAAAGTTGCCCGCCAGAGCCAGCATAAAGAGATATCAAGAGGAAAAAGCCAAATATATATATATATATATATACATTGAGGAGTGTCTCGGTTGAGACATCCTCAACGAATTGCTTGTTTCGCTTGAGACATCCTCGAAATATTTGTCTGTTTCGCTTGAGACATCTTCGAATTATTGCTTATGTCGCTTGAGACATCCTTGAGGGGGGAGGGGAGGAGGAGAAAGAGCAAGAGGAGGAGAGGAAAAGGAGATAGCAAACATCCAAAGTTTAAAACTTATTAGATTTAAGTTGTAAGCGCTTGATGGAAATTACAATGTTCATCTGCTCGTGTAGGGTAGCTCACGTGCCTCGTTTTCCCAGGATAATCAACCCCAGCGATAAACAAGTTCAGGGCGCCAGGGGGAGGAGGAGGAGAACGAGATAGAGAGACAGAGAGAGAGAGAGAGACAGAGAAAGAAAGAACGAGAGACAGAAAAAACTACAAAGAGACAGAAGGACATCGGTTTCGCTTGAGACATCCTTGAGGGAGGAGGAGGAGAAAGAGCAAGAGGAGGAGAGGAGAAGGAGATAGCAAACATCCAAAGTTTAAAACTTATTAGATTTGATTTGTAAGCGCTTGATGAAAATTAAAGGTTTCATCTGCTCGTGTAGGGTAGCTCACGTGCCTCGATTTCCCAGGATAATTAAGCCCAGCGATAAACAAGTTCAGGGCGCCAGAGGGAGGAGGAGGAGAAAGAGATAGATAGACAGAGAGAGAGAGAGACAGAGAAAGAAAGAAAGAAAGAGAGACAGAAAGAACTACAAAGAGATATAAGGACATTGGTTTCGCTTCAGACATCCTGAAACAACGTGTTCGCTTCGCTTGATGTTGTTATCTCAATATAAGAAGAAAGTAACCTCGATGGCGAACTTTTCCCGTGATAATGAAGTTCGGCCTCCGCGCCCCCACGCCCCCGACCAAACTCTTATTGGTCGACGATAAAAAACTCTAACGACTTAAGGGGGGTACATTATTATCGTGGGCATGGGGTTAAATTTCCCAGCCAGAAGCGAAGGCCGTCATGGGTGGCCCTGCATGGCTGAGAGACTTACCTTTAGGGAGCCCACAAAGGACGTACGCGCCCAACTATGTACATGAACACGGCCCCTCGATCCGCGAGACTTGCCGGAACATTTGCGCAATGCGTACTCCCGAGACCAGCGTGGATTCATGTACGTGCACGTCCTTCTTTCGCTCTCGAACCTTGGAAGAGAGGAGAGGGAGAAGTCGCCGATGTGCGCAGGCGAGGCCGAGTCATGGGGGATGCTGGGAGGGCTTTGGGAAAACTCCTGGCCTCCCCCCTCTTCCCAGGGGGAGTGGGAGGCCACCTCAGGAGCGAACCCGCTCAGGGGGGAAGCATCGCGCTGGCATCGGCGACACCTCGCCAGAGCCGCGATGGGTCCCCGAGGGCGAAGCCGCAAGTTCCAGGGCGGGGGGGGGCGCTATCGGGCCCCCCTCGGCGACGAATGGGCGATCGCGGGCCGATGCGTTCCCCCTCTCAGCCTGTCCCCCCCCCCCTCTTCCTCCCCCTCTTCCTCCTCCTCCTCCTCCTCCTCCTCCTCCTCCTCCTCCTCCTCCTCCTCCTCCTCCCCCCTCCTCCTCCTCCTCCTCCTTCCTCCTCCTCCTCCTCCTCCTCCTCCTCCTCCTTCCTCCTCCTCCTGCTCCTCCTCTTCCTCCTCTTCCTCCTCCTCCTCCTCCTCTTCCTCCTCCTCCTCCTCCTCCTCCTCCTCCTCCGACTGAGCTGGCGAACGCCAACTATCAACCTGCACCAACCCACGCCACGCCAATCGCGGGCCCAGGGTCGGCGGATGTCCGCAGGAAGGCGGGCGCCCCTCGCGGAAGGCCCGGACTGGTCCCCCCCTGGGACTGCCAGCGCGGGGCATCCACTGAGCCCGGGCCCACGATCGTCCTGGCCAGGACCCACGCGCACGGACACCTGGGAGCACGCAAGGGCGACCCTGATTGGGCAAGGGTGGTCTTTGGCGCGCGGCTCGCCCGCTGTTCGCGCGCAGTGGGCAGCGGTGGACACGCGCCCCGCACCGAAGGCCACTCTGGCGCAGGGCCACCCCTTTTGTGAAGCCGACAATCGGGCGTCACCTGATGCCGAGGAAGAAGAGGAGGACGAGGAGGAGGAGGGAGAAGAGGAGAAGGAGGAAAGAGGAGGAGGAGGAGGAGGAGGAGGAGGAGGAGAAGGAGGAGGAGGAGGAGGAGGAGGATCCGGCCCCCGACCCCTAGCCTCCACGAGGACGCGCACGACCTCCTCGTGACCGCCCTGGGCCGCCGCGAAGATGGGAGGCACATCCCCCGGCGAGCCCGCCCCATGGACCGCGGCCCCCGCGGCAAGCAGCCGCGCCACCAGCGGCGCGTCGCCCCGAGCGCACGCCTGCGACGACGACGACGACGACGACGACGACCGCGTGGCACCACCACCACCACGACGACGACGACGACGACGACGACGACGACGACGACGACCACCACCACAACCACAGCGACGACGGCGGCGGCGGCATCGGCCTGCAGGAAATGATCCTCCAGGCGTGCCAGCAAGTCGGCCTTGAAGCCCGCCGCGGGCAGCCCGAAGTCCCGCAGCAGCTGCCTCAGCTCGGGCGCCGTCTGGCGGCCGAACCCCTGCCGCGCACCGGCGGCGGGCCCCGAGGCCGCCTCGCTCGGTGAGCCACCGGCCGCCTGCCCGGCCGACGCCAACGACGGCGGCAGCGAGCCCCGCCGCGCGCGGGGCCGGCCGGGGCAGCCACCTCCAGGCACGGCACCCGCCACGCAGAGCGCTGGGGCGGGGGAGGCCGCCTCGCCGCCCTGCGCGCTGGCCCTCCGGGACCACCGCAGCAGGCCGAGGGACCCCGAGCCCAGCGCCAGCCACGCCCGCCGCGGGCACGCCGCGCCGCCTTCCGCCGCGCCGCGGGCGCGGGCGCCCCCGCGCGAAGCCATGGGGGCCCCCGCGGCGGCGAGCCCGGAGCGACAGGCCTGCGGGGCGGAGCCACGAGGGCACCCGGCAGGGCGGCAGGGCGCCTGCTGGGCCGAGTCGAGGCACGTGCGAGCGAGTCGGCGTCCGCGCGCGGTGGTTGCTGCGATGGCGGCGTCTGGTCGGCCGCGGCGCGGACGGGCCACATGCCCGTTCTCCTCTCGCCGCTCCCTCGGCCCAGTGCCACCCCACCCCACCTGCCTCGCCAGCGCGCCAACGCAGGCGGGGAACCATCGCTGGCCCCCTCCGATGGGGGCCCACACTTCACGTTGGTAATCCGAGGCGGTCATCCTCAAACCTGCAACTGTCGCTACTTTGGGCTCCTGAGGCCTGAATCCGGAGGACGTCTCGAGCGGGAGCCTCGTCTGTGAGTAAATCGCAAGGAAGGCTTGAGCTGGAGCACCCTAACGTTGGGGCCCCTACGTCATGCGAGAAATCCGAGACGATCAACGGCATGCCTGTGATTGTCGTCACTTTGAGGCCCGTGAGGGCTGGATCTGGAAGAAGTCTCGACAGGGAGCCTCGTTTGTGAGTGAATCGCGAGGAAGTCTTGAGCGGGAGCCCCTCTCCTGGGACGCCCTCTTCATACACGTTATCCGACCAACGGTTCGCTCTGGCCTCATCGGCAAACGGCACTGAAGCATCTGAACGGCTTGCTCCGCGCCCTGGAGGACGAGGAGGAAGGGGAGGAGGAGGAGGAGGAGGAGGAGGAGGAGGAGGAGGAGGAGCAAACGACACGCAGGAGGAGGAGGAGGAGGAGGAGGAGGAGGAGGAGGGAAACTTCACCTCATCGCCGCTTACCGCAGAACTTCGATTACTGACCGCCCCTCTTCCCTGTTCTCACTCTTCAGCAGGCCAAGGGGCCAGCGACAGCACTGAGACATAACACATCACCTACTCGGATTGTTTATTTCGCTGCTGCTTGCGTTTTACAACAGGGCGAGACCCATGTAGATACAAAGCTTCTGCTCAGTGCACCGCTCCTGGCTGCAGCAGACACTAAACCGTGGGCGTGATGGGTATCGGGGACCTGGGATCGGCGGGGCTGGAGGTGGAAAGGGGGCAGTATGGCACAGAAGCCATTTTGGCCCTCTGCGGAGGTGCGACCGCCCTACTGTGGGCCGCAGTACACCAGGCTTGCCTGCTACTTCCTCACCTTTCGATTACTGACCATCCCTTTTCTCTGTTCTCACTCCTCAGCAGGCCAAGGGGCCAACGACAACACTTTGACATAACATTTCACCTCCTCTGATTGTTTATATTGTTGCTGCTTGCGTTTTACACGCTGTACCATTTTACCGTTACCTCCCGTCATACCTTGCTCCGTCTCGGGGCCCCCTGGCCTACAGGGTGATACCCATTTATATACACAACTTCTGCTCGGTGCACCGCTCCTGATTGCAGCAGACACTACACCGTGGAAGTGGTTGGTATCGGCGGGGGTCGGATCGGCGGGGCTGGGTGGAAAGGGACATTCGTGCACAGAGGCCGTTTTGGCCCCCTGCGGAAAGGGCGACAGCCCTACTGTGGGCCGCAGCACACCAGACTTCCAGACTTGCCTCCTACTACCTCACCTCTGCTCGTCATGCTTCGCACTACATTATGCATCCTTTCTGCATCTTACCCCTACAGCTCCAGAACCTCATTCTGGGACCCCTGACCTAGCCCACCAGGCAGGGCGAGCCCCAGTCGCCAGACACGCCAGCCTTAACGCATACTTTCAGCAGCTTAGGCCACCAGACAGGCCAGCCAACCTGGCCAGCCTACCAACACCGCCCCGTTCAAGTAGTATGGGTTCGTCTTCACTTTGACAGGCTTGAAGCTGTCCTCTCCACTGCTCGTGCAAACATCCCACCCTCCCACCCTCAACTTGGTCGCAAGACCTTTTGCGACAAGACCGTAACGGTAGGTACCACATGGCACTTGGCCACGACACCGACGCCGACGACGACAACGACAACGACGACGACGACACCGACGACGCCGACGACGACGACGGTGACAACGCCGACGACGACGACGACGACCACGGCGACAACGACGACAACGACGACGACGACGAAGACAACGACGACGACGACGACGACAACGACGCCGCCAACGAAGACGACGACGACGACGACGACGGAGGAGGGAGGACGACGACGGCGACAACGACGACAACGACGAGGGAGGAGGGAGGACGGCGACGACGCGAACGACGAAGAAGGAGGAAGGACGGCGACGCCGACGACGACAACGACGAGGGAGGAGGGAAGACGACGACGACGACGACGACGACGACGACGAAATAGGAGGGTCGACGACGAGACGCCGACGACGGACGACGACGTCGAGGGAAGAGGAAACGACGACCACGGCGACAACGACGACGGAAACGACCACGACGCCAAAGAGGACGACGACGACGAACACGAGGAAAGACAGAGGACGACGTCGGCGACGACGACGACGACGCGGGAGGAGGGAGGACGGCGACGACGACGACGACCACAACGACGACGACGCAAGAGCGCGCGCGCACGCTTTTGCTGAAAATCAGTATTGCAAAACCTCGTGTTTTTGTATTTTTTTGGACACACGATTTTGAAATCCTTCCGACATCGATGGGATTTGAAGGATTTCGGCATACGCGTGCGACGACGCGCGCATCTGCACTTCGTCCCATTTTTTGCAGAAAGGATTCCCGCGACGGCACACGCGCAAGGGCGTTCGACAGATTTCGACATGCGCGCGCGAAGCCCGTTTGGTAGCATGTTGTGAAAATCTTGAACAACCTATGGTTTTCTGAAGATTTCGCAAGAGCTCGCGCGTAAGCTTTTTTAGCAAATCAGTGTTGCGAAACCCGGTGTGCTTGCATGCTTCTTTTGGGAACTCGATTGCGAAATCCTTCCGACACCGAAGGTTATTGAAGGATTTCGGCATGCGCGCGCGACGACGCACGCGTGCGCACTTCGTCTCATTTTTTACAAAGGGATTCGCAAAACAAGTTGTATGTTAGAGGAATAATGTCACCGCATACCGCATAGCGTTTTTTACAAGGGAACCTCAGGGGGGAACCCGGTTGGCCTGGGACATTGTGATTTCATATTTGGGATGGACATGCGGTCATAATCGTATGTGATTTACGTAGGACGCGGGGGTAGTGATAATGCCGGGGGGGTAGAGTCTATATCTCTTTTAGAAGGGAGAATTATACCGAAAAGAACTGTCAAGAAACATTGGGGTCCTGGGTCCAAGGAGGTTTGGGGTGAACCGTAAAATCGTCGGCGGCGACCCAAGAACCGCTACGCTTACATTTCTTATGGCTCCAGCCTGGAGCACCTTTTAGCTGTGCGTACCTAGTAAGACTGTCAGCCCAGCAGCAGCACACCATGATTAGTAACAAAGCCACACCACAGCATACTCACTGTGCTGACCAGCCCTACGGAAGGAGGGTTTACGGCTCACTACTTGGGGCGGCGAACGCCACGTTTTATGTTACACCTTTCGCGCAGCGGCAGCCTACACACGTATCCTTCGAGGGCGCATGGTTAAATGGGGAGGGGTGGAGGAGCTTCACCATTGTTCTACCAGCAGCATCTCTGCCCAGCCCGAAGCAGTAAGACTGCGCACTGTCTTTGGCGGGGACGTGCTTTAATATTATGCTTGTATTGATTATCATCCTGCTCGCATCAGCAGCCGCCCAGTGGCACAATATAGCTCGGCCCTGCACCAGTTGCTTACGCATGTCTCAGCAGACATTTCGCCGAGCAGATTCGCCGCTACTTGACCGGAGCCACTCGGCCCAGTCTTAAACAGAAAAGACTGCTCCTTATCTTTGGCAGGATCGCCACTTTGCCTTAGCGTCCTTTGTTACGGCCTCAGGCTTAACTGAACCAAGGCCAGCCAACACAATTGGGCAGCCTACCAGTCCGTAGCATACTTGTGTTGCACACCTGCTTGCGCTTGCACTTCTACCCGAAGCAGCCAGCACCAGAGAATCAAGGGATGGGGTACGGGACAGGTTTTATTCTTAGGTATTTGCGCGGGGTGGGGGGCATTACGCACTTGAGTACACGGTGACCTATTTGGGTAGGTGGATCTCTCAAGCTCCCCGCCGCCTTCGGCGGTGTGCGTTGCGAGCAGGAACGCGACAACGCTACAGGAAAGCGCGGCATTGACAGTGTAGCTCCGCACACGATACAAATTTTAACGAGCAGGAACACAACAAAGCCCAATGACACATGTTAGCGAGCAGAAGCAGGCGCCTACTGTTCAGTCTCTACTGGCCGCCGCCTTCTGGTTCCAGCTGTTTCCGCTGCGCCCGCCAAGTACTTCGTGCGCCGGGTCGGGTTGGCGTATGTATGGTTGCATACACCCAAGACCGCAACTTTTGGCATGTGGATCTCTCAAGCTCCCCGACGCCTCTGGCGGAACGCGTGGCGAGCAGGAACGCAGCAAAGCCACAAGAAAGCGCGGCATTGACAGTGTAGCTCCGCACGCGTGGCCAATGTTAACGAGCAAGGACACAGCATCAAACCGACTGTTAGTCCAACGTTTTAAACAAGGAAGACGACAAACGAGGAGGAGGAGGAGGAGGACAAGGAGGAGGAGGACGAGGATACGCAGGACGAGGAAGCAGGAGGAGGAGAAATGCAGGAGGACGAAACGACCAGCGAGGAGGCAGCAGGAGACATAACGATGATGATGGTGATGATGCTGATGATGATGATGTGGGTGAGGAGGGTGATTCTGATTATGGTAAGGGTGAAACTGATAATGATGATGATGGTGAAGATGTCGATGATTCTGGTGGTGGTGATGCTGACGGTGATGACGATGCTGATGATAATGATGACGATGGCGATGATGGTGATGATGATGGTTCTGATGATGATGGTGATGATAGCGGTCATGATGGTCACGAGGAGGGAGGGGTGGAGGACGAGGAAGAGGATGATACTGAGGATCATGAGGGTGCTGA